TGGGGCTTGCCTCGCCACGTTGACGCCCTCACACGCCACCAACACCTCCAACTCTGGGCAGCTCAGCTCCGAGATTACCACTTCAGATTCAAGACAGACCATGAGCTGCTGTGTGACGCTGTGACGGGTCTGGTCATACACACACCAGTGTCTCATCACTTCCCACAGGCCAGGCTGTATTTCTCAGCCGTTCAAACACTCCGTCACGCCCTCGTTCCTCTATACCCTTCGCCAGACTTCACCTCTGCTACCCCGTGCCATCATGAGGCGTCGTATCTGGCTTCAGGCCACGGCTTCTGTCGTTCTTCTCGGTGCTGCTCACGCGCAGCTAGACTCGTTACCGCCATGTGGTGTAAGTCCTTTTTTAACGTCATACCCAGCCTTGAAAATGCTGCTTCAATTCTTCAGCATGATCGTGGCTGAGACTCGTCGACTGGAATGACACGTTCCTTATGCTTGTACTTTCAGCTAACTCAAGTGATTAGATCTCATGTGTCAACACTGTCATTGCAAAGGGATTTGGCTGCGCATCTCAGGACAACTCTTGCCTTTGCAAGCAACAAGATTTTGTGTTTGGCGTTCGTGACTGTGCATCCCAGTCTTGCGGCGCCGACGTCGCTACCAAGGTGAACGATTACGTTACATCTCTTTGTGCAAGTATGATGCCCCTTGGATCTACAGCGGAAGCAACGCGATCACTAACATGACGGCGTAGCTGCAACCCAGGCTCCTCCTGCGTCGACACAACTGCCTGCATCCCAGCCGGCTTCCTCGCCGCCGCCACAACCTACCACGCCCGCACCAGCCCAAGCATCATCCGAGCCAGCTCAACCAGCGGCTACTGTCGCAACAAACAGTGCAGAGAAACCCTCGTCCCAACCCGTCAACTCGGCACCGGCAGATGCAACAAGCAAGGCGATCTCTGAGGTTGCCCAGACTACGCAAATCTCAACTCCTGCGCCCACAACTATGGTAAAATCCCTCCTGAAGCCGCAGAAAGGCTGACACAACTGACATTACATCTTTGTAGTCAACATCTACCAAATCAACCACCAAGTCAACTACTTCGACCTCGACAGGCTCCCAGGGCTCGCAATCCGGATCCGCCTCAGAGAGCGATTCAGGAAAGCTCTCCAATGATACTGCAGGCCTCTCAGTACCAGCGAAGATTGGAATTGGCGTTGGCGCTGGCGTGGGCGTCCTTGCAATCGCCCTTGCTCTCTACCTCTTAGTGAGAAGGCCGCAGAACAGGACACGTTCCATGCAGATCTCAGGACCGATGCCAGGCTCTGGGAGAGACTACGGCATTGTGGGCATGACTGGCAAGAATTACTCGGAGCTGGAAATGCGGTCTCGAAGATATGAAGATATGGTTCCACGCCAGTCCCCGAGACGGATGATCTGAGTGGCTTATCCTTTTACCCTCCACCGCCACTCGTTCATTTGTCCGAACAGTACTCGTCACAACATGACCGGGATGGCACGGAGATCGTAGCTGGACTTGTGCCAGGCCAAGCTGTGGTAGATGCCTTGACAAGAACACTGTCTGGCCTACAAGACGTTTGGTGATTGCGGCCGGCAGCACATTATGATTAACGATTGACGATTGTTTGGTGTACGGCGTAGGTAGGGTGCGGTGTGGAGCGTGGTGCCTAGCTTGCTCGCGATTATACCAGTTAGGAGTTCGATTTGCTTTGCATACACATGCGACATCATGGCTACAGCCGGGAAAAAATATGGCGTAATGGTTTCCATGGCATCTTTCATTGTACATATTCTTACAATTCCAGAGAGTGGTGTTCCACGCTCTGTCGACCAATCGACTTTAGACATCAAAACTGGGAGTTTTGTAGCCACAGTGAAAAGTGTCTACCAAGAGTAGTAGGGCCTTTGCGCAGACACCGGCCTATCAGGCAAGTGGACCCAGGGCTTCCTCCGCGCTTGTTTCGCCTCTCTCTCGTTGTGCTCGCGTATTCTCGTCTTCTCCTCCTTCAGCACGACAGAAATGCCTAAAAATGGCTTGGTCAGCCCACATGAAGATACACGTCGATAAAGGGCCTGAACCGGGTCGGGACTTACTAGTTGACGGTGATTGAATGATGCCAAATCTGCCTCGTCCCTTGTAGTCCATCGACTTGGATCTCCAGGGTCCTCTTCCCACCCAAGACTCCGCGACGTAGAGCTTCGATGAGTTGTCGACTCTCAAAGCTTTGCCGTCCTTGGTCTCGATCTTGATTGGATCATGTGATTTACCCAGACCCATGCCGCGGCTGACGATGGCCAGATCTCGAGCTTCTTCGAGCTGATACTTGACCTCCCGGGCCATCTTCTTCTTCGAGTATCGCATCTGCAGAATCGCCTCTTCCACACTCTTGCCCTGTACTTGGCGAGCTAGGTGCACAAGTTTCTTGACGCTGGTCTCCAGGAAGGGACTCTTATGCTGGAGCTCCTTCTCTGTCTGGGCGATGCGCTCAGAGCGGCTGACGCGGCCGTTGCGACGAACCATCTGGATGACTTTCTTCCTCTCCCATCGTAGACGAGCTCGCGGGTCGGGGTCAACCCGGTACGACATAGTTTCTGCCGTCTTCACAGAGCTTTGCATCCCGGGGGCAGTTTTTCCGCCCTCGGCGACAGCATCCTCAACTTCTTCTTCGAAAATAGAATTGGAAAGCGAAGCCTGCTGCTTCTTGGCGAATTGCTCACGGATCTTGGGGTCGTTGAGGTTCTGGCCACCGCTGAAGGAATCCTCAACAGGATTGCTCTTCTTGCGGCCGAACATGCCAGAGAAGCCCCATTTGCATCGAACTTGAGTGGCCGGGCGCAAGGGAAGAATAAGAGGCCTCGTTGGTCGTGCGATGGATTGAAGGGTTGAAGAAGCTAATGGACGATAGAGATTAGCTGGTCGATCCGCCAATGCCATGTCGAAGTAGCAACTTCACGAACGGGAAACATAATCCTCGAAACTGACCGGAAGAGGTTAATCTCCTCGCAGGGAGATGGATGTTCATGGCTGCTGTTGTGTCTGCTGGACGATAAACCAGCAATCCTACGTCGCCATTCCCGTTCCTGCAGAAAATTGCTAGATCAGAACATCTGATATGCAGAGAGTTGCGCCCGGGCCAATGCGGGCCGTCGTTCTGTGGATCTACCTTAGTCCTTAGCCGGAGTTGACCCGTTTGCACCGAGCCAGGAACACTGCAACGGACGCTTATGTAAGGATACGATGACGCCCAGCAGCCAACCAGATGGAGGGGGATTCAAAGACCCAGGCCTGCCTGGCTTAGGTAATGTGAGAAGTGCGGGAAGGTCAGGAACAAGTCACCTACGGATGGGGAGAATTTGACATCACGTGATGACTCCATCGCGCGAATTCATCAGACCATTCGAGCTACCCGAGGACTTGAGCATCACCAAATCACCCTCGGATACACGAAATATCGGCTCAATCGACCCTCACAACTCCCACTCAACTCCGCATCACAATGGCCGGCACTACTGCTGTCAAGCCCATCACGGGCGTACGTTTCCCGAATCAATTGAGCACCTTGAGCCGCAGTCGCCGGGCCTACGGAGCATGAACAGTTGTTGGCTAACAGCGAACAACAGATGCTGCGACGCAACCTGGTCCTCGACCTTGGCATTGCTCTTGGTGAGTTCTCCCCGAAGTCCTCTTTTGGTCCGCAGCTGGAATTGCGCCGCCCCATTGCGCTCCGTCATGGGCCATCCTCGGGATATGCATCGATGCGCTCGCTACCCAGCAGTCACCCACCCTTCAGACCAGTACCCTAACTTCCTCGCAGGTCTCGGCTTTGCTATGGCCAATGTCTACTGGTATGCGAACACCGGAATAGATTCGCCCGATGCTTCACGCAAACATGCTCGAACTAACCGTATGTCAGGTACGGCTTCCACATGCCTCGCACGAACGCTCGCGATGCCTATTACGCCAAGTTGGAGCAGCAGAAGGCCGAGGCTCGTGGCCAGAAGCAGTAAATGACCACAACGACGACGATTGACTGCGGTGGCGGCAGAAAACGAGGGCACTTGCTTCGATTAGCGATGGGATTGAGAAAGCATTCGTGGTTATAGACAAGATACGGGCTTCATCAGCTGGTCAACCGACCCCGATTGTACCATACACACCAGCAAATCGAGTCGAAAACCATTCTTACGTCGAGGGCAACGGTTCAATGGTGTGACGTGCAGAAATTATTACTGCGAGGCGTGTGAGGCGCTCAGTCAGACGTGCTGCTTGTCGCGAACATGATACTGTCACCAGTGCCTCAAAAGACGAAAAACTCAAAAGTCCGTCTAACATACAAAGCTCCCAAGGGAACTGATGGGTCTCTCTATACTATACTGCACATCAATCTACTTCATGTCTTAAAGGGGTCGTGAAATCTGTTCGTAGCTTTTGGATCGCCTGCCTTTTTCCAGCACCAGAACATTTCTATTTCTCCCACAACTCTGGCCATTCATGATACGTCCGCTGGTCACCGTTTCCCTCTGTGCCATGGTCCTGGCGGACGTCTGTACTGCGCAACCCCAAAGTATTGGCGTGCCCATCTTTGGGTCCAGCATTCAGCCCTTCCCATGCTGTGGTTTCAACAGTAAATGTACCCTTCTTATCCTGGCATCTATGGAAGGTAATGTTCAGTAATCTTAGGCATGCCATGGGAATGAATCATATCGCCGATTTCGTGCCGCATGAGATTCGCCAAGTAGAACAAAGTTGGGAACGGACTTACTGCCGGAAAACCCGCATGATAGGCCAACATCCAATGGGGCTGTCTCTGCGGTCGGGGTTTTTGACGGTGCATCTAAACTGCGTCATCGCCCGCAACGCGCACTTGGACAAATCGACATCAGCACCCCTCTCAAGCTTGCGCTTTTTGCCTCTCTGGTCCGCCTGCACATGTCGCGGCAAATCCGACGCATCGAAAACAAGGCAGGGCGGGGTCATCTCGACTGCAGAGGCGGCGTCGAAACCAACCGCGAGGATGAAGAAATATCTGGACAAGAGAAAGTATTCGCGGCTCTCGATGAGGGGCAGGAGGCTCTTGGGCGACGCCAAAGAGACCACGCTAGAACAGGTTGGTGTGCCACAAGATGAGAGGCGATAAGTAGTCTGGACTGGTGAGGTTGAGTAAATGGTGGACGGTGGATGGGGTCGGTGTTTTGGGGGGTCGGCCGACGCAAACTTTTGGTCCGTGGAGGAGCCAGACAGCTCACCACTCACCTCAACCCCCCAGACTACTGGCATCAAACCATCACCAGGCTCCGTTCAGCATGTCACAGCAGATCTGTTTTTCGCCATTTGTCATCGTCATACAGCTGACTTTGTTTCGATAGGTCTTGGACGTCTTCAGCGCAGAACACAAGCCCGTCAACCCCACGAAAAGGAAGAATCGACCTAATTTCTTTCCCATCCCACTCCTGAATGCGTTCGCCGTCAAGAACTTTCGTGCTACACAATCTATTCCTCTCGCCGTCACCGGCCGTCAACTCCCGCTCATCTACCGGCTTGTGTCGGGCCTCGTTTCCGCGCCCCACTGCAAGACGGTTCTCATCTTCGACACAGAAGGCCGCTTTGACGTAACACGCCTCTGCTGCGGTGTCGACGACATCCGTCACGTGTACGTTCAGCGTCCGGCGCGCCGTGGTATCACCGGCAGCACCAATGGCCCTGCCGATCCAAAGCGCATTTCCCCAGACCAACTTAGGGAGCAAGTCGCTGCGGCCGAGCAATGGATATTCTACGGCAAGCACAATAGCGGCGCACGCGAGTTGTGGGGGACTGTGGTCATCGGAGCCATCGGAGCCGGCGACATAGTGGCCGCTTGGAGAGGCTGGCTGGATGTCGAACGCGCCAACGTTCCCGGGTTCTCCATCGTGTGCAGCGCAGAGGAGGCCATCAGCGATCGCCAAAGGCGTCAAGAAGCCGTTGACGCGGCACTGTGGGTTGCCTCTGCGAGGTGGGGAAGCTTTACCTTCACGGAATCCGTTCCTCATGCACCCGAATCTCACCACAGCAATGCAATGACGACTGGAAACAGTTAAAAGTGATGGGGCCGTGGAGGATGCGGAGGAGGAGACAAAAGAGGAGATGCGAGTGGAGCGAGCATGCTTCTCGTAATGTCCAGTGCAACTACATCTGCAGCTACGTGCTACATTGCACATTTAAGGACATGCTCAGGATGCTCTCCTTCTGTGTCTTCACCAACATCTCTGAACCTACCATACCCACATGTTCCACTTGCATATGAAGACAAACCCTACTACAACAACCCGCCGTTGCAGCACTCCAAGTCATGTTACCTCGGAGCTGGTGTACTTGGAAAACACGGAGCGGAAAGGGATCGGCGGCCCAGGTAACCGAAGGGGGGGGGGGGGGGGGGGGCATGCACCAACGCCAACACCGGCCGGACTTGGCATGTATTACAATAACACGGCGCCGCGCGAGGCCGCAGCATGACGGAGATGCGCAGGCTAGGCATCGGCCCAAACGGGTAGGACCAGATCCCTCTCGGCATCTCAATCCCGTCTTATTACCTTTCATAGTCCCCCAAAGCCAATCAATCACCATGTACATGGTTCGGCAGCGGCGTGAAAAATTGTAACGAAGCCGGCCAAGAGACGAGTTAGCTTCAGGGACCTCCTTAATCGTGCCATAAAGAAGCATTTCGAAGCTTGGCGATAATTGCCAGGTGTTGGGAGCGAAAATCAAGCCGAGTGTGTCATAATGGTGGTACAGGTTCAAGTGCTTCAAATCCCTCGGCGTCAAATGGCGCCTGTGTATCGTGTATTCTGCTGTAGCTAGTGTCGCAACTCTAGATTGCGGTCATATACCTCGTTGATTGGAAAACGCCTGTGGTATCACAATTTTCCCCCGAATTAAACAAGTACCCTGAACTCTTAACCCCAACACTATGAAAAAGAAGGAAGTGGCTCGCTAGCAAACAAACTCTTAGATCACGAAGTTCACATGACCACGCTAGCCCAAAATTGGCTGGTTACGCTCCTCCAGAGGAGTGAAAACGGCGCTGTCCTTCGACTGAAGAGCCTTCAAACACTCCTCTTCACCGAGAATGTCCTTTCTCAGCGATGTGACAACCCTCTTGCGGATCTCGCGCTGAATGCCGTAGCGCACAGCGTCTAAAACGTTATCGACAGTCGCCTTGGGCTTGTAAGCCGGCTCCGTACCATCTTGGTAGACACCGGTCTTGACGAGGATGCTGTGCCACTCATTGTCCGCATGCTCATCGTAGGCGTTGGTGCCCCGAATATCACTCTCCGGTGTATCCCCAACAAAATAGACGGTGTCGGGAGGTGCGTCCAAGCCGTGTTGCTGACGACGCCATTGCTGCAGCAATCTCGTTGCAAACTCGAAGGTACTGACCTGGGGCTTGCCGAAAGCGTGGGTGTGTAATTTGCCCTTCTTCTTGGTAACGTCACGGAAAATGACCTCCAACATGCGGCGCAAAGCGCCCATGCCAAGACGAACATTATCGTGGGCAGCAGACCAGACGATATCGTTATGAGAGAAGTAGATCGGTGGGCCCTCGTCGAAAGTTTCGCTCAGAGTACCGAGACGGCCTCCCTTGGACATGGCGAGATCGAGCATAATTTGAATGTCGCCAGCCCAGTCTCGGGAATCAGCGAAGACAAAAATGGCTTCAATGGTGACATCCGTGAAATCTCTTTCGCGAGAATTTGTAAGTTCGTCCTGGGTGAGCTTGCGGAAGGGGGTAGTTGCGGAGTTATGCTTGATAATGTCTCCGGGTGTAATGACATCCTTAAAGCCATAGCCCTCTGCAACTTCGCGGCACTTTTCGCCCTCACCGCCAACAACAAGGACAGTGTTGAAGCGCTCGGCCATTTCTCTCATGGGAGTGTGGCCGCAGATAAACTGCGCTGGTGAGATGTCGATCTGCATCTGCTTAGACAGATCACCACATCTCTCTTCTTCCGTCTTACCACCGCCATTGGTGAGGAAGATGTACGGACTGTTAGACGTGCATGTTAGCATCCATCATTGGCGAGCAGAAAAGCCACGATGCGGCGGATACAAGTGGGGCCTTGCGATGTGGGCGGGGTGACAACTTACATCTGGATACCGTATTCGTTGTCGCCATTCAAGACCTTCATCGCCTCAACTGCTTCGGGGATTGCCCGACCTCCTCTAATGAGGACACCGTCGATGTCGAAGGCGAAAGCAAAGCTGTCAGCGACAGGGGCGTCGATTGTGGGCGTGACTGGTGACAGCGCGCCGGCAGGGCTACCCAGAGCTGATGATCCAGCAGAGCCGCCAGCGGAGCCATCCAGAGAGGATTCGGGAGTGCTTAGAGCAAGATTGTCCAGTTCCTTGCGGGCTGCGACAATGCTTTCAATGAAGCTGCCGGTGGACGAAGCTCGGTGGTTGGGAGCCATGTTTTATAACCGTTATGAGGGGAGTCGAACACGGAGGGAGCAGACTAGTTTCCTGGTGTGCAATCAAGTGAAGTGGTGAGTAGTAGAATGCACCCAAGCTAAATCTTTCAAAGATAAATAGCGGTCAAAAGCGCTGATGAATCGGAAAAGTAAATGATGAAGCAACAATAAGCTCCATCTCGAAAATGCCTCCTGGGGACCACCGGCTTATATAGTCCAGGTATGAGAGCATCTTGACTTGACGCTGACGTCTCACTCTAATAGCTGACCTCTCTTTCTGGAGCACTCTCTTTCCAACGTGTGGATGTCTCCGCAAAAACCAGGCAAACGCAGGCCCTTGTTGACTGATACTCCTGGGATGAGTTTCTTGAGTCGTGCATGGTCCGTGGATACGTGGAGGCGAAGTAGCATGAGAAGTTTTTTTGGATCCTAGACCTGAGTGCTCCACTGAGGGAGACACAAGGACCTTACCTGGTGGTGAGAATTCTGATTCCTACAGGATACAGCAGTACATGTTTAGGATAGGCTCAGTGCCCAATCTCCAAAGTATCCTGCGTGTGTGTGCGCCTGTTTGAAAGCAAAGAAACGTGGGCACAAAGCGGAGCGACGGCGGTGAGATTCAGATTGGGGTCGGCGCAAAGGCTGGGCCGGGCAAAGAAATGAGCGAGTCACCCAGCAAGATGGCAGTTTGAGAGAGAGCATGGTGAACGAGGCTCCATCCGGCCCCAGTTTGCCAACCGTCATGGTGGAGACTTGGCTTTCTGGTTCCTCGTTGCGGCTGCGAAAGGTTCCGCCGAGAAGCAAGGAGAGGCCCTCGAAATGTCCCGAGAGGGATGATGATAACTGGACTGATGCGGCAGCGATCGCCTTTCCGAAGCGGCCTTGGCGAGTGCACATGCAAGCCGCCATCACGCCCGTTGGACCCTGAAATAAGCAAACTTTCAAGACTTTCGGACGGGTGCTGCGGCTTGCGGCATGGTCAGCCAAAAACAGCAATGATGAGGGAGGGACATCCAAGATGGACAAGGCAAGCGAGAGAAGAAGCGACACGCAGTTAGAGAGAAGGACGCCTCGGGCCAACGAAAGGTAAAGACAGCCAGGAGTTTGATCCGGTATCTTTCAAAGTATATGCCGCGCCACCTTGTCTCTAGGTAGTACAAATGGTACATCGGTGCTTTTGTTTTGTGTGATGCTTCTCACCTGAAAAGGGCAGAGAACACTGTGAGGATGCCCCTCCACTGCCCCTCCCCCTCCTCCCATCCTTTCCCCTTCCATGACTCCTATTGGATCCAGGTGCTGCTCCTTATCGATCGTTCCTTGCGATACGGGTAGACGTTACAGGGATGGTGCCAGCAACCTGCCATGATAGCACAGATTGTGGTCCACAAATGCGAGAATGCAATCGCACCATGAGGTGAGAGCGAGGGCGTCGGTGTCAGGAAGATTGGAAAAGTGTATACGTAGCGCAGGCCTCGACGTGAGACTTCTGGCCGTGTGGTGGCCAAGCGGGCTCCATCAGAGCGGGTCCGGAGAGCCCGCAGTGACGTCATGATGGTGGATACCCACTCGAGACACTAGTGTACAGACAATGTGAAGGGTTCAGAAGTCGATGTGACAGGCCGGATTCTCGGGTGATTGGACCAGGAGGGCTCCGCAAGACGGGCCGAAGGAACTTCCGCAGCATCGGCTGGCTTAGGTAATGCGCTTGTGGCGGCAATGAACCGGGCGCTTGGAAAGGGGTCGGGCCCGGAAGGCCTCGGGCGTGTCTAAGGTACGGTTTTTCTGACACCGGTTCCGCATGACAGGGCTTGTCTCACTGCCTGCTAATTAAGCACGGCTGGCATGGCCTTGAAGAAAAAAGTCGATTCGAGAGTCTAGCAATGCTGATCCTTGGCAACTGCCCACAGAAGGCCGTTTTCCTGCCAACATATCTGGGCTAACAGCGACTGACTCGGCGAATGACGTCTCGTTGCGGCTTCTCCATGTCATTGCGGACAGGACCACAATTCCACAACATCTCCAGGCCATCCACATACGTTGTACCCGCCGCCACGGGCACGTCGCTCCGCGGTCTGTCCCTCATCAACATTTGTGGGTGAACTGGCTGCTCCCACCCTCCCTGTTGAGGGACGGGCGCAATGCGCACAGTATCTCCTCTTAGGGTCCGAGGAGTGGGAGGGCACGAGGGACAATGGAGCATAGGCAACGGGACAATGAAGCATATGGCCAAATGTTCGACTCGTACAGTATGTGTTGGTCAATTCGACACATTCCCCAAGTATCCACTGCGTTCCCAGCGACATGTGCGACGCATTGCAGGCTCACTGCGCGACGTAAGGTCAAGTAGGGTGGGCAGGCAGGCAGGCCGCAGGCAGGCAAGGCATGGTGGGCATGGTGGGCATTCTCACAGGCTCGGGACGACCTCTTGATGCGCGTTTTATCATCCATAGCCTTTGGTCTCTCTGTTTTCCTGCGCCTCGCCGTCTTCTCCTGCGCAGCTACGCCATCGGTCAGCTTTGCCGAGACGAGGCAGGACGTTGGCCGAACAGAAACAGGCCGTGGTCCGGCGCTATCGCTATCGCGTCCCGCTGCCACCACGCGCGCTACTCGCCATTCGCATTGTGATGCCGTCACCGTCCGCCGTCTCTGTACTTATATGCACGCCCCCCCTTGCAACTCCCCTTGCCATCCAATTTTGTCTGCCATAAGTCCACCAGAGACAGTTTGGACATACGGGCCTTGCCATTCCTCATAAACCTGCTGCATGTTTTAGCTAGATCCTATTCGCCTGTTGTAGCTTGTTGGGTAGAAAATAGCATGGACAACGACAGGCGAGAATGAGAGGAGGGAAACAAGTACCAGGAGCCCATGGTACTACTACTCTGCAGACACCAAGGAGGCTGAGGGGCTCCACGAGGGAATAATGGAGGGTCATGGTTTCAATGGGCTGGCGTGACTGGATGGCCAGAGCACGAAGGTGGATTCTGGGAGACGCCGCTCACTTGCTAATAATCAATCATACATCCATCCATCCTTGGAGCTGCGTTTCACCCTTGATGATGGGCAACGCAGGCTAGGCCGGCAGGTAGTAACCAAAGCGCCTTCGCGTGCGAGGTGCGTGTGCATCTCCCTTTTATCCCTCATTCGTCTTGCAATATGCCTCATTCCTCATTCCTATTTTACGATACCTTCGGGCAGGATTCCCCGATACCAAACACTAAAATGGAAACCCGAACAGGTCAGGGGTCATGGCGCTTATTGAAGGTTGACGAAGAGGCCGCCATCAACGAGCAACTGTGCACCGGTAACATAACCGCTGAGCTCTTCACAGGCCAAGAAGACGGCCGGGCCGGCAAGGTCGGACGGCACTCCGGTGCGGCCCAGAGGAATGCGGGACTCCATGTATGTGCGCTTGGCATCATCTGAGAGATCTTCATCGTTGAGCTGGGTCTTGATGGTGCCAGGGAGCAACGCGTTGCAGCGAATTTTATGCTTGCCCAGAGCAACAGCGGTGCTCTGCATCAAACTGAGGACACCGGCCTTGGTGGGAGTGTAATGTGTTTGCAGACCGCCACCGACGAGGGCAGAAATGGATGAAATGCCTATGATGCTGCCTCCCGGGGGCGACTGCTGGCTCATCTGGCGAGCAGCAGCTTGTACGACATAGAAAGCACCGTCGAGGTTGGTGCGGACAGTTTTGGTAAAGAGGTCTGGCGTCAAGTCGAGAAACTCGGCAAAAGTGCAGATGCCAGCGTTAGAGACACAGACGTCGAGGCGGCCGTTGCCCGAGTGCTTAACGGCGAGAGCCACCAGCTGGGCGGCGGTCTCGGGCTCGCGAACGTCACCAACTTGATGAGCGAAGCGTCCGGCGTTAGGGTTCGCCGTTCTCAAAGAAGCTGCCTCGGATTCGAGAGAATCGAGATGAGGTTGGTCCTTCCCAAGGCCCAGGTGGTTGACGACCACATCGGCTCCTTGTTTGAGGTATTCAAGACAGATGGCACGTCCTATACCGGTGGTACCCCCAGTGATGATGGCGGTCTTGCCGGCGAGAAGGTTGGTTGGAGCCATATTGATGTCAATTGCCTGCGCAGTAGTTCGGGACGTCGCACAGAAGCTGGAGGAGGTGAGGTTGATTTTATGTCGGGTGCGGGGTGTTCTTGGGCGGCAAGGGTGTCGGAGGATTTAGTTGGTTCGACGGCGAGGGGACGGCGACACGGGTGAGGAGAAGCCGGAGGGGTTAGACAAGATCGATCGTAGCCTACTTCAGATTGATGGCGTGCAAGATGGTTCGTTGACTCTCTTCCGGCTGTCTTCTCTCGATTGAAGCGTGTACATTCTGACACGGGTGGTCGAGTGGCTGGCCGGCAGAGTATTTGTAGCTGCGGACGATCGTGTGGTGGTGTGGGTGACGGCGGTGGAGGAGGCGGAGACGCGTGAGGAGCACGAGGGGTTAATGTGCAGCGAGGCCGGTTCTCTGGAGCACCGACGAACCGAGTCACGATGCCCAAGTTGGTATACAAGGTAAGGTAGGTACTAATTAGGTGCCTAAACTTAGGTGAGGCAGGTCAGTACTTTTGGTAATCTTTGTTGCCAGTAGGAATGCACCTTAAGGTAGGTAGGTAGGTGGGTAGCAAAGAATGCGCAGGCATCGTGTCTTTCTGTCAGAAAGCATCATCGAGGCTACCGGGCTACTTTACCTACCTCACCTACCTTACCTACCTTACCTACTCAACCTAAGGTAAGGTAGGTAAGATAGTGCCGTCCCCAGAAGGTGTCTGAGGTGCCCAGGCACAGCCCGTCTATTCCACCTCAGTGTCCCCTCCTCCAGATCACTTCCATAGCGTAAGGTGCCTGGGCTGCCTTGGGTACCTTGTGTCAGGTTCCATTCACTGCACCGTGAGCCCCTTAAAACCCCCACCATGGACCCACTACGAGCTGTGTCCATTCTCTACTTAGTGTCACTCACCCCGCGTCCTCGGGCCTCATTACAGCGAGCCAACCCCACCAAGCACAGCCGGGAGTCCCTCGTCCTAACAACGTCCACGCCGCTGAGACGGCCTTTGCTCCGCGACCTTGGGCGACACGACGCCATTTATTCATCGCCTGTCTCGGATTTTCCGGTGCGTCATGCCCTTCGGGTGTCCCGATGGATATCATCTCTCTCAGCCACTTAATCACTGCCATGGTTAGACTGCTGCTGGCCGTCCAGATCAAGGCACACTTCTGATGTCAAATTCGGCAGAGACCGAAGGCATAGGGAACAAAGAACACAGTGAGCCGACATTAACATCCAATTCATTTCCATTGCTACAGCATTATGAGAGTATTCATGGCCGCTGGTTGCGGCACTGTCCCAAGGGTCTCGTTTGTCATGGCTCCCCGCCTAGGACAGTACTTAGCGCTCCACCACCGTTCGCCTCTATATTTCATGACCGTGCATGCCGTTCGCCTCTATTCTCTCCTTGTACTTCAAGCGCCATTGGTGACGTTCGCAGCCGCCTGCTCCTCTTCCGTCTTCAAAGGCCTCTCCTATCTTACTGTTAGTCTTGCTACAATCGCATGTGGGTGGGTAGCTAGTTTCTTACGATGCTGGTGCTGAGCAGCGCCTTGCCTGGAATCAACTTTGACCTCACGGCGGGGTTCAACGTCAAGCCAAAGCCAGGCTTATCCAAGTCTGCCGTTGTAAGATATCCCTTGGTGGGAATGGGCTCGTCCAGGAAGAGATCACCGAACACGGGAAGCACGCTCTTGCCATCTGGGGAGTTGGCCAGGTACTCTTGGAATGGCGTGTTGGGCTGTGAGATGACAAAATGGTAACTGTACGGGCCACTGGCGTGAGGAACAACAGGAATGTCATAGGCGGACGCCATCGCCGAAACCTTGAGCAGCTCTGTCAGGCCACCCAGCCACATGACGTCGGGCTGGATGATGTCGAGGTTGCGGCCCTCGATAAGCTTGCGGAACCCAAACCGTGAGTACTCGTGCTCGCCCGTTGTGAACTTGATGGTCGGGTGTGCCCGCTTGATCTGCTCGAAGCCGTCCGTATCGTCGGGGGACAGACACTCCTCCCACCAGTTGATGTTAAGGTCCTCGCATGCCTTCGCAATCTCGATTGTGTAGGGCACGTTCAGACTCATGTAACAGTCCACCATGATGGGGAAGTCGGGGCCGACACTCTCACGGTGCTTGCGCAGGAACTCGACGTTCTTCTTCAGCCCAACGTGTCCCTCGTCTGGGCAGTAGGGGAGAGGAACCTTGCCGCCCCAGAAGCCCATCTCCTTGGCCGCAGCCGGCTCAGGGCCAGTGCAGTAAAAATCGAGTCGCTCCTTGGTGGCACCACCGATAAGTCTATAGACAGGCTCATTTCTCAACTTGCCCAGCAAATCCCAAATGGCCAAGTCAATGACGGAAATGACGGCGAGGGGCAGACCCTTGCGGCCGTAAAACATGGAGCCTCGGTACATCTGCTCGAACAGCAGGTTCGTGTTGCGTGGATCGGCACCGATGAGGAAGCGCTCGAAGTGCTGGTGGACGAGCCAGCAAGCCGGAGGACCTGTGCGTCGTGTATTAGCAAATTAGTTTCTCCGTCGTCTCGCCCAAGAAAGGCGTCGCGGATACACCCATCTTACCTCCGAAGCCAGTAGCAATTCCAACGGTGCCATCTGAAGATTCAATCTCGACGAGAAACGAGCCCAGAACGTTGATGCCCCAGCTCGTTCTGGAATTGCGGTATTGCTCCCATCGCGAGCAAGGCGTGGAGATGGGGCTGTCAATCAACCTGTTGAAAATCAGTGTCAGTCGCGCTTCTGTGACACGTCGTACCGCTGCAGTCGGAGCGACGTGGTGGGAAGCTTACCAGTGGCCGCCCTTCACATTGTGGTAGTCGCCTCCGGAGCCGACGCCGCCAATAACGAAGGTCCGAATCTCCTTGATGGAGGGGAATGACCTCACGGACGCCATTGTGTAACTCACTGTATGGCTCTTGCTGAGGGGGTGGAAGTGGTGGTGAAGAGGGAGTGACGCGCTGCGGGACAATTACGACAGCCACGATGCGGTTGAAAAAAAGCGATTGGGGGGGGGGAAGAAAACGTGAGGGGAAGAGAAATACACCAGCGTCTTTTTAAGAATAATTGGAGGAAGTCGCCATGCGGTATGCGGGCGGGCTTACGAAACAGACAAGCCGAGCTGGATACGAAGGGAGGGGATATGAAAAAAACAAGAGACAGCTTATCAGACGACGGAACCTAGGCGGCCAGGCAAGAAGCAACTGGGCAAAACCGGCAACGGCAACATGATCAGGTCAGTGGGGGTAAACAAGGCATGGCTGGGCCGAGAGTCTTGTGGACTCAGCTCGTGCTGCCTCACTGACTGAGGTAAGGTAGTGAGCGGTGGACTGGGGGTTTTTGGAGATCGGTGTCAGATGTCCCGACAGGCGGAATTGGATCCATTGATACTCGGCATGGGGGTTCGGAAGCTCCAGCGTACGCTCAGGGCACGAAGGACCCTCCTTACCTCAGGTCCACTGCAGTGTGCTTAGGTAGGTATGAAGTCCTTCCCTCTCCGTGCGTCGGCCGGGCTCCGATCAACTGCTGGCGTGGGCAGCAACTCGAAGGATATGACCAGCCAGGTTGATGTCGTTCCGGCGGATGCAAGACGCGCCGAGTTCGGCATGGAACACGGCATGGAACACGGCATGGAACACAAGCTTCTCTGCTCGACCAACAACGAACTCAATCGAGTAAGTAGCACAAGGCTCGACTAAATGCCCTGTAGGCGCTCGCCAATCGGACATTTCAATGTATGACTGGGCTTGCGGAAGGCGATGGCGGATGAGTCTGCGTCTCTCAGAGTCAATTCGGGTGAGCTCTGTTCCGTACGAATCCCGGCCATGGTCTCGTGACAATTGGCATTCGGGGAATGGGACAGCTCTGCCCGAGATCTAGTCCGGGACCTTTGGATAGGTAGGCTGCTTCTCCTGAGGCATCAACAGGTGCTTTCCTCCACTGCGGAGGACTCCAGGTCCGGTCGCAGCCCGACTTGGGAGGCCGGCGGTAGCCGTCTCCGCACCACGACTCCCGTCCAGGTCTGCCCGGCGCCGGCGGATCGCACATGGCGGCCACAGTTGTGTCATCTCGTGATTGATCACGTGGAGCCTGCCATTTGCGGGTATGCTACTGCAGTGTGGTCGTACCTAAGGTAGGCAATGGAATTTCCTTGCCTCGGCCTGGCGCAGCCGCTAGATGACGGATCTCAAGCCACCTCCACATTCTGTCCGCGTGGCCTCCACAGTTTGCTTACCGCGTAGGTGCCCAGGAGTTTTGGCATTCCCTCTGTTGGAGTCTGTCCAATCCGAGGCGCCCGTCTCTTCTCCGCCTCCACACTCACCTCCGCACCCCTCGCGGGCCTCTCCGCTTCGCTTCCCCTCCCCCGAATTCCCTCCCCTCATCCACCTTCCCCTCGCCGCCATTCCATTCCCGGTCCTGTCCTGTCCGTTTGTCTGCCTGTCTGTCTGTCCACTGCTGCCGTCTGGGGTTGTCACATCATTTTCTTCTGTTCGGCCTGCGGCACGTGTGGGACGAAAAACAAAAATACCCCGAGCCTCCTCTTGCCCTCCGCCCCAGCCTCCTGTTCCTGTGCCCTTTTTTTCCCACCCTCTGCTCAACATTACCCCGAGCTTCCCAAGCTTCTCCCGAAGTTTGCGTTGCGAATCGCACAAACGCCTGCAACTTCAGCGAATTTGCCGCCCTCGCTGCGCGCGTCATACCCAACCACGCATCTTGCCTTGCCTTGCCTTGCCTTGCACCCGCGCACCCGACGACTGCCTTGCGCTGCGTCGCGTCGCCCATCCGACCCGCGCACCTGAGGATGCAGCACAATGGCGGACACGCTCTCAGCAGCCGGTCACCGCCTGCAGCCAACACCACCAAGTCTCTCCAGAATCTGAACCAGGACCAGAACCAGTCGCAGACCCAATTCCAGACCCAGTCCCTGAACGACCAGGACTCTGACGACGGCAACCAGCTGCATAGCGCTGATGAAAACGATCTCGACCAGGACGATCAGGATGTCACCCGTCTTGGGAAGCGCAAGAGACCCATATCTGTCTCGTAAGTCATTCACTGTTCTGTTCCGTTCCATTCCCCTTACCCGTCCACTTACTTCTCCTTCCGTCCTGTCTCCATTCTATCCCTATCCCAATCCCGTCACTGCCCAACAACAACCTTGCTTAGGTTGACCGTCCCGTACTCGCTCTGCTCCGTCCTTCCTGCCCTACCTTTACTGTGCTTTGTCTTTGTTTAAACCAAGTCAGAGCCTTGCCCGTTTTCTGGATACCTGCCTCGCCTCTCTGTCTGATATCCCCCCCCCCACACCTCGCCGCCTCATTCCTGCTCTTACCCGCCTGCTTGTCTCTGATATGCCCCTTGTGCTCTGCCGTCCCCGTCTTCCCCATGTCACCGTCTCCAGAGCATGTGCCTTCCGAGCAAAATACCGAAGCTAACAACCCAATTCCAAGGTGCGAGCTGTGTAAGCAAAGAAAGGTACCGTTGCGTCCACTTCAGCTTCCTTTTCCGCTCCCCTCCATTTCCCCCTTACCCACCTCCACAGTTGCTGTCCCCAGTTTCTCCTCGATCCTCCGTCGTGGTACCTTCATTACCACGGTAGTGTTGGCAAGCTCAAAGCGTACACCGCGTTGTTCATTTTGATTTGCGGCCTTATAGGCATCCGTTGGAAGACGCAAGGGCGCTGCAGCTGACCGACCTCGGCTTTACAGGTAAAATGCGACCGTGGCCAGCCTTCCTGCGGCTGGTGTAGTCGCAATGGTGCTCTTTGCGAATACAAGGAGCGTAAGAAGCCTGGACTTCGCGCAGGCTACGGCCGGGAACTTGAGCAACGCCTGGATAAGCTCGAGGAAATACTCAGAGCGCATGCCGAGATCCTTCAGGCAACTCTGACTTCCAGCCAACACAATGGCACGGCGCCAAGTATACGAAACAGCAACCCAAGTCTACCCAGTGACCACGGCACTCCACGAGAAGCCGCGAATTTGTTTCGCCCGTCAGAGTCGATCAGGACGCCACAGGCTGAGACTGCCCTCTTCTTGCAAAAGCCGTCCACTTATCCGCCCTCAACGCAGTCTATGGAGTTTGGCATGCCTCCCCCGACGCCTTCAATGCATGAATTTCAGGGGCAGATGCCCATGAGCAGTATGCCCGCACCTCCGAGCCATGTGGCTGCCATGTCCCACCCAAGCAGTGCGGCTCAAGAGTACTACGGCACGAACCAGACGCAACTCCACTCGCCTGACGTTCCAATGGCCCAGAGTCAGACCTCAACTACACCAGATCAAGAGCTTCCACCTTACGACTTGCTCTATGCCCTGGTAGACCTATATTTCAAGCACATCAACACATGGTGCCCGATTCTGCACAGGAAAACGACCCTTGATTCTCTATTCGGACCCTCCACTCTTGAAGAGACCGATCGCATCCTTCTCCACGCCATCGTAGCCACCACCCTGCGCTACTCAACCGATTCGAGACTCACGGAGGACAGCCGGCAGCACTATCATTCCATATCCAAACAAAGAGTCTTGCTGTATGGCATGGAAAATTCTTCGGTTAAGGCTCTCCAAGCGTTGGTGATTCTGGCCCTCGATCTAGTAGGGAGCAGCAATGGCCCGCCAGGGTGGAATATCATGGCTTTGATCACAAGATCGGTCGTGCAACTGGGTTTGGCTGTTGAGAGCACATCCTTCTCAGTCTCGCCCAACTTTACATCAATTTATACATTGAGGGCCATGATTCTCCCGGAGCCAAAGGACTTCATCGAAGAAGAGTCACGACGGCGGCTATTCTGGATGATATATCTTCTGGACCGCTATGCCACATTGGCAACCGCCTTCGAGTTCGCACTTGATGATAAAGAAATCGACCGCACATTGCCCTGCAGAGATGATTTGTGGATCAAGAACCAAAAGGTCGAGACGCGGTGGTTTCGTACGCAAGACCATCCTGAGGATACGAACCCCGAGTATGACATCAACAAGCCGGAGAATCTCGGTGCTTTCTCGTATTACATTGAGATCTTGGCCATCCTCTCCAAGATCCACAAGTTCTTGAAGCAGCCTGTGGATATCAGTGCGTTGAGCGATGTTGAGCAGTGGCAAATGCGGTACAAGGAGTTGGACAACATGCTCACATCGTGGAAATTTGGTCTCCCCGGTGAATACGGCAATATGGCGAAATTGTTCCAGCCTGGCAATAAGACGCTCAACTGTGGCTGGGTCATGCTACACGCCACGTACCACACAGCAGTCATCAGACTGCACTCGTCAGCGGCATATCCAACGACCCGGTCTCCTATATTCACCCCTTCTTACAGTGCTTCACAGAGATGCCACGGCGCAGTCGAGAACATAGCCGCACTAGGCGAATTCGTCGTGAACAATGGCCTGCTGGCGAAGCTGGGTCCCCCTTTCGCATTTACACTCTGGGTGGCCTCTCGTTTGCTCTTAGTCCACGGGTCAACCGTAGAACACAAACTCTCACCTCAAATCCAGTTTTTCGTGGAAACCCTTCGCGAGATGGGGAGATATTGGCCAGTGGCAGCGCGCTATTGCGGCCTTCTACAACGCGTCTTGGACGAACACCGCGACAGCGAGCGACAGGGAGACGGCGTCACCCCGAGCTCAGTCAAGATACTAGCCGACATGCGCCGGACGGCTTTTGACCTCGACTTTCTGATTTCGCGGCAGCCTCGCGCGAATGGGGTGCCCAACCACAGCCGCTTACCAAGCGTTACGCCCGCACGAACACCGGCGCCAAATGAGCTCGAGTATTTGGATGTCTTTGACTTTTTCAATGTGCCACGTTTGCCGGTAGGCAATGAGAACATCGCCGGTATCCAGCATGCGGCTGGCGGGCCCAATGGGCAAAATGGAGCATCATCGGGGGTTGATGCAAACAGCGAGAACGGCGGCTCCAGCGGACCAGCTCCTCCGGGCAACGAATTCAACATTACGAATTTTATGGTGGACGCGAACAGCGACTGGCTCTTTAAGCAGGAGGGAGCTAAATTTCTCACATGAATCACACCCGAACATTGGAATTAGGGGGGTGGTTTTCGATTAGCGTGCTGCTGGTTGAGTGCTGTTCTGGCAACGTAACGCATGGCCAGGTAATTATTTTAGTTCTTGCATTAGCCCGATACCTGTCTGTTTTGTGTTTGTAGGTAAGATGGGTTGACTCAATCAAGGGTTGACTATGCAAGTATGTGTGTATGATAATGACGGATCTCACGGTTGTCTCAGACCCTGGGCGACTGGTCTCAGTCCAACAGTTGTTGAGCCACAGCTGTTGAAAATTCGAAGAACACGCATTTGAAGCCGAAGCTTTTGATCGGTTTGAAGTTGTGTTACTAGTATGGAGCGGGCGGATGCTGGGTATTGGAGAACTGCCTACTGAGGATCTGATGGGGTGAGAATCCTATGATACAACAAGGTTGCGCTGAGGCATTTGTCAATAAAATGAAGGGTATATATTCATTATTTGCTTCGTAGCCAACCCAAGTGTCTGCTGAGCATTAGACAGCAAAATATTTCCCAGTCCCCCGTCCGAGCCTGACCGATCGCAACGCGACAGTGACTTATGATCATGCGCCACAAGACCGCTGAAAAGATGCATACAACATGTAGGGTAGCAGGATTTATCAGCCACAGCACACACTTGGCTCCTCAATGCCTGGAGCCTTTGGACCTGGTGCTGTTGGTGCGTCGAGGGTGATGCGGCAGACAAGCCAGTCGCACAGGAACTTGCCCAGGCCGGCTCCGATGATGATTGAGATGATGAGGTATCCATTGTAATACATTGCCAGCAACATGACGATGTAGGCCAGGCCGAAGGTGGCGGCGTGAATTATTGAGCGAATAAATTGTTGCAGGGGGGATGCGCGGAAGACGAGCGTCTGAGGCGCCACGACGGCGGGAGGGTCGCAGCAATTGGTTTCTTTCGGGATGCGAGCTTGCAGCTCAGCAGCGCGTGCTCGGAATTGGCGTTGAATGAGGGCATCGTATTCTTTGCCCAGTCTGCGAAAGACTTCGAGGAAAACAGTGAGGAGACCGACGCCGATACAGCTGGCAGCGAACATGCCGGCATTTTTGATCTGCCACGATTCGGCAAGGAAGCCTGTCAGGGGCAAAGGTCAGCGAGAATTCGTTCAAGGTTGAGATGTCACACAATTGCGAGCATGCTCGTATAAGGTAGGCTAGGCAGTCAGTGCCCATCAGGTAGGTTGGTTATACGCACAAGCGTCAACTGTGTACCAGTTCCACAGCATGGACATCTTGCAGTCCGCCGAGGAACTGCTCATAGAGCTGTGATCCATTATGCCGCGAGGTCTGTGGCTCTATTTCCGTAGCGTGTCGATTCTGAAGTTGCAGGAACTTCAGCCCCAGAAGGTTGCAATGTTCGGTTTCTGAGTGGTGGTAGCAAAGCGCAATTCGATCGGGGACGGTGGCAGCTCATACGACCGGCGCCGCAGGGAGGAGTCGGGGCCGGGGTGGCTTATTATCTATGCGAAGACGGAAGGCTGAAAGGTTGGAGCGCAGGGTGAGCGAGAGGATTAAATTGCCCCGCAACGAGAGGAAAGATGCACGGGCGAGTTCGGCAGCAAGCAGACATGCAGTGGGTTCGGGTGAACCGAACAGTGGGAAACGCGACCAGCAGAAGCTCTGGGTCGCGGGGGAATCGATCCTGGTAAGCTAAGTGGTGCGCAAGTTTCAAGACAGGCGGGAACAAGGGTCCAGATTTGGGACTGGAGAGTTGACGTGCCCTTAGAGAAGTGACTTTATGATTGGTGGCAGAAGAAATCAGAGTTGAGGTGGCAGTGACAGGTGCTTTGCCAAGTCGAATTGCCAAGTTGGGTTGCCACTGGCCATCGTGAGGTGAGCGCGGAGGGGACCCTCTAACTTGCTCACGCTAAGCCGGTTCGGAGGTTAACTGCGTAAGGTACCTCCATATAGTACGGAAAAGGTACCACGAAAAACCGTGGACAGATGCGGGTGGGTACCGTTTCCCGCTGGGCAACCTATTCAAAGTTGACAATTCAAACTGCAATTGAAAAATGTAGCGCGATGCACTTGCTCAAACACCACCATGAGATAATTAGAGCAGAGTGGTAGGGGCAGGAATCTGGCATGGCGCATCTTATTGATGCTATCAAGGTGCAAGAAGAAATGTGAATGCGCTCTGAGCCTCAACTTCTTCTATGGAGAACAAGTGGGCCTTGGAATCGCACCTGTTCAGTGTTCCCGTAGTGTAGTGTCCGTGCCAACCCCACCGCGGCCTCCTTAGTGGATCGACGCCCCCGGCCCGGGCCCGCTTTCCGGCAGAAACTTGCTCAAAGATGCTCACTTCGGACTTGCTCATTCCACGTTTCCTTCACTTCAAGTTCCGTGTTTCTGGATGGGGTCAGCTAACTTCTTGGCTCCCATCTTAAGACCAACAGCGACATATCAGTGCGTCCTGTGGATTCACCTGCTTCACTACGGTCAGTCCCTAGCCGGATATTGCTTCTTCAATGTCTCAGTCCATCCTCCGCTGATGTGATTGATATGGCCTCGAGCCTTGCTCAGCGAGGACGTGGATAAACCCCGCTGTTGCTCTGCGTCAAGGCAGAACCACACGGCTTTCATCCATGGACCTCGCCATGGCCAGGCCCTGTCTCTCCCTTCACCGCGGGCTCCAGCCTGGGTCTGGACCTTAGCCAACTGGCTCATCATAGCTCTCCCATTCTTGATGACACACAAACTTGCTCAAAAAGAAAGTCAACAACCGCCGAAGCGGCCCTAGTATGGGGCATATGACTATCAAGATAACTCCGCTTCTCATCCCGGATCGAAACACCGCGGAGCCGCCCCAAACCGGAAACATACCAAGACCCTAACATTGACTGACCAACCCCATAAACTCTCTCAAATCCCGCCTCGTCCCGTTTTTCCCATGCAGAGAATGCGACGGTACTTACTTAGTACCGTTGCCACATCGTCTCCTGGGCCTTAAGAGAAATGCGTCGCCGGATGTCGCTATCTAGTCCACCGTCATCTCAAAGTCTCTCGTCCCAGAACGACCAACAGCTCCCGTATTAGGTTTTTCCCACGCCACGACCATCATCGGCAATACAGCACAGTCCTCGCTCGATTATCGTCATCCTACTTCCTCACTATCTCGCCATCAAGCCTCCTTTCCTCGGCAATACTTCGCGACGGCAGAACGACACGCGAACGGCCTCGTTCTTTATGCAACCCTACATTGCGCTGCAAGTCAACCTACGTAGACGGCGCTGAGCGCTGACGTCTCGCAAGCTTGCCCCCATTTCAGGCGCCGACCTACCGACAAGCTGGGCATCTCTTACAGAATGGACTATCATCTTAGGAGCCAGTTGGCAGCTCGCCATATCCAGAACCTCAGCGAAGCCTCGTCCTTAGAGCCTCATTGGGGTTATGCAGACCGAGCTGTCCCCTGCACCAACGATGCTGGATCATGCGCATATCTTGATCTTGTTTACGGCTCCCACGACCGGGGTATGTTATACGTTGGTATTCTATGGATCATCATTGGCGGCATTCTTTTGATCTGGACCATTGGAAGACGGGCCATTCCATCCCTCTCCGAGGAAGACGTCCTTCGTGCTGCCCTCCTAGAAGACACACGCGCGAGCAAGAGCTTCGTCCACCGCCTCCGCCAAGCCACCTCTTCTGCGGTCAACCGCTATCTCCTTCCCGACTGTGTCCGACCCATCTTTGGACGCACCACGCGTCTTCAGGTATTAATCCTGACCGTATTGGCTGGTTACCTTCTGGTTTTCTCCTTCGTCGGCATGATCTACACCACTTGGGTAACGCCCGTCAAGAAAATGCCAGGGGTCTACAACACTCGAACTTCTCTCGGCCCCTGGTCTGATCGTCTCGGAATCCTTGCCTACGCTCTCACGCCCTTGACCGTTCTCTTTGCTACCAGAGAGTCGATCCTCTCTCTTCTCACCGGAGTCCCCTACCAGAACTTCAACTTCCTTCACCGCTGGCTAGGATACATCATTGTCATTCAGTCAAGTCTGCACACTATCGCGTGGTTAGTGGTCGAAGTTCGACTGTACCAGCCTCAACCGTCCGTCGCAAATGAGTGGATCTCCCAGCTATACATGATCTGGGGCTGTATCGCCCTGTTCTTCCTCATGGCACTCTACGTCCTAAGTCTGCCTCCGGTTATTCGTCTGACGGGATATGAGTTCTTCCGGAAGTCTCACTATGTTCTTGCAATGCTATACATTGGAGCTTGTATCGGTCACTGGAAGAATCTCGAGTGCTTTATGATTCCATCTCTCGTTCTTTGGTTCCTGGATCGCGCTGCCCGTGGTATCAGAACGGCTCTACTACACCATAACTTCATCGAGGGCAAGGGCATGGGCTTCTCTGCTGCCCAGGCTGCCTTGACGATTTTCCCGGACGCGGAGGACGGCGATGTCGTCCGACTCGACTTCGAACATCCTCATGACGCATGGCACATCGGCCAGCACTTCTATCTGTGTTTCTCCGAAAGCAGTATTTGGCAGTCTCACCCGTTCACTCCTCTTAACGCGCCCCTGACGGTGAACGGAAAGACGAAGCATTCATACATTTTCCGTGCCAAGGGCGGCGAGACCAGAAAGGTGGCCGAGATCGCCGCACGAAAGCTTGCCGCCCTCTCCGGCGACAAGGAACATGCTGCGCCCACGACGCCAGTGATACTGACGGGGCCATACGGAGACCCAATCATTCGAAATATCACCTCGGATGTCAACATTCTCTGCGTCGCTGGTGGTACTGGAGTGACGTACGTTCTTCCGGCTTTGATAAGCCTCAAGAGGCACTCGGGGAATTCTCGGAAGCTCGAGCTTGTCTGGGTCGTAAGACACATGAGCGACGTTGCTTGGATCAAACCCGAACTTGATGCCCTGGAGACCAGTGATGGTCCAAAGGTGGTTATCCGCATCTTTGCAACGCGCGATGCTCGCAGTCAACCCCCGAGCCGATCTAGCAAGGCCATTGAGGCTTCTGAATCTGGATCTACGTCGGAGGACGCAGCTGGTTCCGATGAGAAGCAGGCTCAAGTGTTGTCACGCGTTGTGACGGAGACGACGAGCGGCGAAGCCTCTGGGCATCCCCAGCTAGACACCATTGTTCGGAACTTCGTGGATAATACTGCCTCTGGTAGAACGGCCGTATTTGCCAGTGGCCCTGGTGGCCTGATGTCCGATATGCGTGTTGCGGTCTCGAAGTGCAACTCAGTGAGTAGGGTATGGAGAGGAGAGGAGCGGTATAATGTGACCCTTGTCCATGACGAGCGTATGGAAAGGTGATGATTGACGGTTACGTGCTCGGGGTTCCTGCGGCTTTCATTGTTGTTCAAATTCATCAGTCTTGATACCATTTTTCATAACTAGTAGACTTAGACCGGTGCAATATACCCAAAAGTGTTGGTACAGCACTATTACAAGGCACTTGCTTCGACTTCTTTCATTCATATTCGATCCCTCAGCCAGCACATTCTGTGCGTGTTTCTGGGGATGGCTTACCATGAAGTCGTCTTCCTTTTTCTTTGACGAGGAGTTTAACAGACACTAGACATTACGTACATTTGCATAGGAAGTGGTAGGCATAAACGAGGCGCATCGCGGTCAAGGCATTGGTCACATACAAGCGGTACGGAGAATTTAACGACGTAACTCCATCTATGTCATCTTGAGAATGGTCTTGACTGGATAGTGCCATTGTCGAGAGTGGCATCAATCTGGCTATCTGCACTCAGGCGTTCACAGCATGGCTCAGAGGCCCTTCCAGGTCGGAATCATGGCCGTTCCACAAAGGAACATGCGTATCGTGAAGAACGTGGGCTGACACAATTGTCTGATGATGATCATGCCTCGGACCTGCCCTCCAGCAGGCTTGGGTTCATGTCGATGAACTTCTCCCATCTCGCTCGTTTCTATCTCCATATTCCCTGCCAGAAAGCGAGCTTCGTCATTGCAGGTATCTCATGATCCAGGGACATCACTGTGGTTTGAAGCGGGGTGACCACCCAAACACACCGGATTGTGCGGTGAGTTTGACTCTCAGAACTGTAGCATTGCATGTACTTGGGCCCATCGCTATCACATGCGTTTCTACGAATCTTCCGGTGAGAGTAGTCCGGGAACCTTGGCGTCGAAACTATGCTTGCGAGGGAGGCAAAGGCCTCCTATTCCGGGGAGATAATCCGTGCGAAGATATCAAGGTTCCGGCAGCACACATCTAACGGTGGTGTTCCATCGCTCCAACGCGTTTGACCATGGATGACATGGCAGTCTATCAGAGACACTCGTAGTGATCCATTAGAATACTCCCGACTGCTCTATGAGCGCAGTGCTGCGTCAAACCAGAAACGGGGAGGGCGCGCTGGGAGACTATGAGTTTGCGCGATAGGTACCGGTGGGCTTCCAATTGAATATGTTACGCTATACTACCTCTGTGCAAGGGTCAGTGTGCACATAAGAGGGGGCTTATTCCATGTGTTGAAAGCCTTCACATGTTTTAAATCCCCATCTGCGTCCCACATGTCTTCTTCTCCCAAGGGAACAGGCGCACGCTGGATATCGTAGTGCCACAGCAAGTTCGCGAGTATCAGCCTGAGCTCCAGGTAGCTCAGATGTCTGCCTATGCATCCTCGTGGGCCGAGAGAAAATGGCTGACTGGATTCCTTGTTCTCACTAGCAAAAGCAGACTCTATCCATCTCTCCGGAACGAAGTCATTGGGGCGGGAGAAGTTGTAGGGCGAGTGAGTCGCTGCCCAGCTGTATACAGATACCGTAGTTCCGCCAGGAAGGAACTGGTTGGCAACGGTGTCGCCGTGCTCCGGCACAGTACGCGTGAGACCCGTCGGCACAGGTGGAAAGATGCGCAACGCCTCGTCAATACACGCATTCATGTAAGGAAGTTTCTGAAGATCCAGGAACTTCATGTCTTCGGCAGATGCAAAACTGGATCGTATCTCTTCCGTGAGTCTCTTATACACGTGTGGGGTGCGCATAAGCCACATCGTCAGGCCCGAGAGAAGAGAAGCTGTGGTCTCGGAACCAGCAACTATGAACAGGGCGCTGTTGAGGATGATCTCGTCCTGGCTGACTCCGCCCTTTTCGTTCTGGCGGAGAATGTAATATAGAAAATCTCGGTGCTCTCTCCGGAGGCCCTCGTCAATTCGCCTGCCATTATTGTCAGCAGTTATAGTGGCAGGTGTCTGGGAAATTCCTTACTTGAGGCACTTTTCTCTGCTCAGCTCCAAGTGGCGGAACCTTTTCTCTCTGAGATCACTTGGAATGAGATTAACAAGCACCTTCTGCAGAAGACTTCCGGTCTTGAACATTCGCCTCGTAGCCTGCTCGTACGCCCCAGCCTTGATGGTCTGTGTGATGAGGGATACCCATGAATGGAAGACACCGTCTTTGAGACACCCGAACGGTTCGCCGAAAGCCATGTCACCTATGATATCGAACGTTGTGAAGTCTTGAACGCAGGTGATTAGACGGATTTTTCCATGGAATCAATCGATGAAAACCCACTGAACCAGTCGCAAATATTGATCGCCGTGTGGCTGTCAGAGAACGGTCTCAGCTTATCAACGAAGAGATTTACATAGCCGCGGATGATGCTCTCTTGCTCCAGTAATGCCTTCTGGCTAAAGGCGTGCGAGAGCGCTCGCCTTTGGCGGGTATGGTTTGCATCATCAGCCATGGTCAATGTTGTAGATCCCGGTATGTCCTGCACGGATCCGACGCTGTGGAATTGATTAGCGCACGCGTCGGGTGTCAGCCTTTCCAGCATATGTCAACGTCAGGTATCTCACTGGATAGCTACCGAATGTTAGTTCTCCAATTTCCTAGGTTCTGGACGAATGTGGTGCCTCAACTTGACGTACGGTCTTTATGGAATTGGGAGTGCCCTTGGCGGTGGCCATATATGTCCTTCCATGCTTGTGGCTCCGTGAAGGAAAGCTCATTTGGCATAATTCGGACGATTGGGCCTATCAATTGTCAAGACTGATTCCCATGATCATGCAGGTAACTGACCATATTTCAGATGCAGCTGGTGGACATCAAATGGCCACCGTCCTCGGAAAAGGCCCCAGATGCTGTATACCTATATCCGGATCAATCTGAAGTGTCAAGACTGTGTTTGAGACTACCTACTGGTGAGATTCTCGCCAACAAGGGCCCGGGATATCTAGCAAGAGGGTGGATGAAGACATTGTATATGCATGCCCAAGCAGTATACAAAATGACCTGCCAACATCAGGGGTCGGCGACAACGTGAGATAGATGACTGCTTACGATGGAGATGGCAGTACAGGAGGCCCAAGTCAGTCCTGGGAGGATTTCCATAGTGTGGATTGCAGAATAACGTTCAAGCACTATTCAATCGCTGATGTATGCTATGAGAAGGGGATTATCTCAATTCAACCGGGATTGTGCGAAAACGGAGATGGTGCCCATAAGAGCTAACAAAGAAACGTCATTTCAAATCTGTAGACAATTTTAACATTGCAGCGTCTCGAACTCATATATGCTCAACGGATATCATCAGGCAGTGGGCGATCAGAGCCGACTAATTAAAACTAGACCTGGGTGTAGATGGGAAGGGAAATACTTATCCGGCGTGGAACCTAGATCGTGCTAGATTTATATGATAAATTACTAGACCCTATAGACGCTAAAGGGGGTGTATAGAGGTAAACTATACGTAATATAACTAATTAGTATAGCTATAGTTAGCTTTATATAGTAGCTTTTATAAGCTTTAATATTATATTAATATTTATAATATAGCTTTTATATAATAGATACTATTATTTAAAGATATTTACTTATATATTTAATAGATTATAGAATTTAATATAAATACTTTATTATTTATTCTTAATAAAGAAACTCTTATATAACGTTAAATTATACCTTAGTTAAATAAATAAATAAAATAATAATAATGTTAGCTATATAATAAAAAGCTATACAACATATTAAGATAGATATAATAAATTTAATAATTATAAAGCTTAAGAAATTTTTAAGCTTTCATAGCTTAATATTTATATTAAATATAAATAACTCTTTATTTAATATTAATAGTTTAGCTAACTTATATAAGTATCTATTATAGCTTATACTATATTATCTTTACTATACTTTAACCTTAATAATAGCATCTTAACTTATATTTAGTTTAATAAAAAAAAAAATATTAATATAACTAGCTATTAATAGCTTCTAACTGCTTACTATAAGTTTAACTTAAAACTTATATTATAATAACTTCTTATTTACCTTTTTAGCTAATAACTTATAAGTTATATAATTCTTTAGCTCCATTTTTACCTATATATATAGTTATATATACTATCTATTGGATAATTCTATTACTTTTAATATTGCTTTAATAGTAACTTTATAGTTTTAATTTAGTTTAACTACTATAAACTTTTTCTAACTTTTTAACTTTTCTCTTAAGTTTTATATATACTTTTTATTACCTTAGCTCTTAAGTTTATAGTTATAATGCAACCCCCCTATAAAAAGACTATAGTAAAATTCACTCTATATATAGGTATAATTCTAGAAATACTATATAAGTATTTTAACCTATACTCTTTACTAATGAAGAAAAATAGTATAGAAACCTAATATATTCTTACTAATAAGTAAACCTTTTAAATATTATAAAGTTAAATATATACTTTAGCTAAATAGACTAATAAAATAGTAATAGTACTAGCTATAACTAAGTAAATATTCTCTTCATATAAATAAAAATATAATTTTCTATAAGTTCTTTTATAGAATTTCTATTTCTTTACATATCTTAACTTTTATATTTTAGAAATATTACTTTATTATTACTTATAAGATCTTTTCTATTACTTATATACTAATTTATTCTCTTTGTATTTTTTCTATTTTTACTTTTTTATGAGTTTTTTTCTTTTTCTTAAGTTTTGAATTTTTATATTATAATATTATATTTATATAATAATAAGCTCTAGGTACATAAATTATTTAACTATTATAAAGTAGTTATAAATATATTACAAAACTAAAAATACTTAATAAGTTTATTAAAATAATAAAGCTAATAAACTTATTAATAAGGAGAATTAGTTATTAATTAAGATTTTATCTTCTTAGGATAAAAATTACAATAAGTATTATTAAGTATATAGTTATAATACAGCCCCTCTATAAAAAGACTATAGCAAAATTCACCTTATATATAGGCATAATTCTAGAAACACTATATAAGCACTTTAACTTATACCCTCTACTAATTAAGGAAAACAGTATAAAAACCTTATATATTCCTACTAGTAGGTAAACCCTTATATAAAGTTAAATGCACGCCCTAGCTAAATAGACTAGCAGAATAGTAATAACGCTAGCTATATAGCATAAAGCTAGTAGTAGTAGCATTATATATAGTAAGGCTAATTATATTAAGGCTAAAGAGGTTACTAAGGCTCTTATAGCTTAGTAATACTACTAAATAGAGATAACTTCTTAACTAAAGAGGTTATTATAAGAGGTTTTTATAACTAGAAGTATAAAAAGCTCTACTACTATATATAAAGCTTTACGCCTATCTCTCTTCTTCTTCTTCACCTTTAAACTTATATTAATAACTTATTCTTATAACTTATAAAAAACCTTTATAATATTAGTACCTAACCCTATATATAGATACTTTAAGCTTAGTATACTTATTAATATAAATAACGTATAAAAGCTTACTATAGAGTTTAATATTAATTAAATTAATAAAACTTACTTTTTCCTTATATAATCTAAGATATATAGAGAGCATATAGTTGGAATAACGCTTAAGAGAGCTCTTATTAATACCCCTATAGAAGACCTTATAACATATAACTTAATTAATAGTAAGTATATAAACTTAGTAGTAGAAGTAGGTAAAGTACTTGTGCACTTTATAGAGTAGCCCTTCTTTAAATAGGCCCTCTATAATACTAAGGTAGAGGTAGGCCTCTAAGGATTAATAAGTATAGCTTATACTGAATAGAGAGAGTATGACTAATAATAGTATAGCTACTATGAAGGTATTAGCTAGCCTAATTAAATAAGAAGACAATAATAGTAATAACTTACTTCTAAAGAAGCTATTATAGTAGATAGTAAAGTAGTAATAGAGATAATATTAGCAGTATAAGTAATATATAAGAGAGAGGATAGGTTGATAGTTTAGTAGTCTATAGTAATTAAGTAATTAAGTAATTATAAACTATATTATTACTAAAGTAAAGTTGAAGATAGTGAAGTTATTAACTAATATGTATATATAAGTGCAGCTGAGGTTAGGAGAGGTGGTTAGAGACTTAGGAGGTTATTAGGCTAGTTTACAATTATATAACTAAAGGCTATATATATTGTTAGGAGGTGTAGAGTTAGAAGCTCTGTTGCTTTAAGTAGGTCAAAATCATAGTGAACAGCTAGAGGCCTGCTCTATTAATACTTTATAGATTTTATATTAATCTTTAATAAGTTTTATTATTTCTTAAAGAATAATTTAAAAAATACTAAAAGTATTAATAATAAACTTAAAATCTTAATTAAAATCTAAATAGAGATATAAGCTACTTTTTAATTTAATAGTTATAATTAAAAACTAATTACTATTTTTATAAGTTTTAATAAAGATAATAAAGTTTAATGTTTTTTGAATATTTTTAATTTGTTTTTTTTTCTTTGATAATAAAATTATAAGTTAATTTAATATATTTAGCATTAAAAAAGTAATTTCTCTAAAACAATTTTAAAATATTATAGAAGTTAAAAACATATTTTTCTTGAATTTTTTAAATTTTTTTATATTGTTAGTAATTATTACTAGCTTTTTTAAAATTTATTATTTTACTATTGAATTAATATTATATTTATAATATTTGTATTTTTATGTGTTTATTTAAGTATAGAATAGTTTTTGATAGCTTTAAGTTTTAATGGATTTAAAAAATTTATAGATTAATTAAACCTTTAATAAACTTGATTATATTAAATATAATATTAAGGAAACTATTTTTAAGATAAATGAAGAAATATACTAGCTTTTCTAATTATGATATTAACTATATTAATGATATTTATATCTAAATATTAGTTTAAAACCGAAAGGCTTTTACTTTTTAAAAGTTTAAATATATTACTAATTTATTTTATTATTTTAGATTTAATTAACAAAGTTTTATAACAGAAATAAATATAAATTAGAAAGTCTTTATAAAGTTTTTTAATATTACTTATCTTTTAAATACTTGTTTAAAGTTTATAAATAAAATGAAAATAAAAAGAACTTAAGAAAGAGGAAAAAGTAATAAATATTTCATAATTTCTAAATATTATAAAAAGAAAGTAATTATATAAATAGTTATAAAATAAACTAAATAGCTTTATATTATAGTTTATATAAATTATA